AGACTTCATTGCAGTGATAGGGAAAAGAACGAATGACATGGAGATGTCTCTCGGCAATACGGTAAAGACGGAAAATATGAGCGTGGAGATCGCTTCACAACTTTTGCTGAAGCCAACCATTTCCACGTAATGAGTACTGTTTTCCAAAAAGTCTCAAGGCGAGAGCAGACATGGAGATGCCCAGACAACGGAAATTCTTTAAACCGTGATGGCCATAGGCAGAAGCATCATCTGTATAGGGTCAGAGCAGAGGCTGTACGTTGTACAGTTACAGTCGACGTCGCTAAAGATCGAAAGTGCCTAAGAGTTTACTGCTCTGCAGAGAACTACGCTTCAGCCGGGGCGCTTTCGCAACGTTACCAGTTTTGATAGAGGGGGCCGAGAGAGTTATACCATTATAGTACGTCAAATAAGGCTCCATGAAAACGATTCTGATCATGATCTGAAATTGGGACATCTCTTCACGGAAAGAGCAAGAACTATCTGATGATGTCATTAAGGTACTGACTTGTAGTTTGATTATCGTCAACGAAGCGCCAGGGCTGTGAAATTCTGAACCTCTCCTGGTGGAAGCTATTTTACTCATACATCGATTCATCAACCCGTACTCAGGCCGGTTTTGGCACTGTGGTGGAACATAACCTGATTAACAGAATTATTGAATGGAAGCTGCAATAAATGTGCGCATTAAGAAAGGCGCACCGCTTGCAACCTCTCATCACTTTGTCGTTTACACTCTCCATATTAACACCTGGCTGCTGAAGCAACTGAGAATCAAATAATAAGCATTATCTTCTGGGGATACGATAGAAAAACTTGCAAACGACATCGCAGAATGGTTTTAACAAAGCCCACTGATAATTACTGATATGGAAGCTGAATGGAAGCTTTATGAAAGTGACTCTCTCGGGGCTGCCGTCGAATTTTATGGGACTGGCCTGCCCCATCAGCCTAACGCTGGAGATCAGAATCGAACTTCCCAGCAGACAAGAGAGGTTCAGCTGGCTGTCAACCATACGAAGGTTGCATTCAAGAAATGGCTTGGATGTAAAGAGCCTTCAAGTCGAATGTAGTGCCAAA